AAACATATATTAGCACGCTACATTGTGTTGTTTCGATCCCTATAGCGCACGTTTTCATCTCTTGAGGTACAGTTTGTTTCAACATAAATCTCGGCTTCTCATACGAACTTTTACTGTCCGCATTTATTAGATATTCTGTTATTCCAAACAGTAATGAAATGTCCGCACGGTGGATTTTCCACTGGTTGCTCACTCTTCGATCTCTGCTTGTTGCTTTTTTCAAGAAGGCCCGAAGACGGGCGCTCAGTAATACATGTCTGTTGCACATATTTTTTCACGGCAGGCATATTTCTGAAATTTTCCCCTGGTGTCGTTCTCTATAAAACGTTTTCCCGCTTACCAAACATGTCTTGATTTTGGGCATTCCTCGAGAGGAGCAAACAAAATAGTGCTCCCGTCGTAATTGGCTGTCTTTAGGTCACCAGCGGTTTGTTGTCAGTAACACATGCTAACGCCTAAGCCTGCTTTGTCAATTAAGATCCCTTCATTTAGGAAATAGGAATTTCACCTTGATCACACAAATTAGTGCTAACCCTTGTTTGTGAGGTCCTTGCTATGAAAGAATAACCAAACATGTATCATCCTTCTATTTATTTCTTCTTCATTTATGCATTCAGGGGGTTTCGGTCGCATTGGGTGTCTTTTGAATTGTCCGGAACTCTCATAGGCTTTTTTGTCACTTCTTGGGTACTTCTCGACCGTGGCGTCCATTTTTTACTGCCTTCTGCTGGGCCGTTATCTTGGTTTTTGCACTTTTTTTATTTTCACGCTTTTCAGAGACGTGAACACTCGCAATGCAAATTTCTTACTGACCGACCCTAACACTCTACTATGTTTATTTCTGTTAAATAATCCAGTGCCTGGCCTAATTTCAATACAATGGAAAGACCTTCCAGGGAGCACACGGGTAGTTCAAGTTCTGCGACCTTGAATTCGAAATCTGGGTTTCACAATTTTTTGCCCTTTGTGGGTCGTAGTTGGTTAAAGTAGAAGCTCTGGGAATTTGCAGTCCGCTAACAGACTTTATCAAGTCATACCTGTCTTATCGTAAACAAAAGGTTTGTGTGGGATCTTAACTTTACAGTGAAAGCCATATTGCAAGTGGTGTCCTACAAGACACTGTTTTAGGTCCTGTTTTGTTCCTGCTTTACATAAGTGATATCTCAACGCAGTTAAACATTCTCAGTCATTTTTTCATGCAGATTATCTCAACTATGTCTATTCTTTAAATAAATCTACGATCCTTCATTGTCTGGAGCAAATCCATGCTGACTTGCTTGCTCTCTCAGCGTGGAGCTCAAAATGGCTAACGGAATTCTCTCCGTCTAAATGTCTCTGTATTTGTTTTGCACCTGATAGGCTACCCCAACCAGTGGTCTTTCAAGGCACACCAATGTCTGAATGTACCATCATCAGGGATTTGGGTTTGAGCTACACCAATAACCTTGATCTCCCCCCCCCCCCACACGCTGACAGAATTACGGCCAAAACTGCCCAGATTTGGGGCCTTATTTCTTACAATTTCTATCTTGCCGAAATTAAATTAAGACTTTATCGTAGGTTTGTACGTCCCATTTTCGAGTATTGTTGTCCATTCTTTGGTTTGATGAACGAGGCTAGTCGTTCGAAAATTGAAAATGTTCAAAGACATTTTACTAGAAAACTTTTAGGTACGGAATATTCAAATATATCCTACGCAGATAGATGCCAGCTAATTAACTTAAAATTTTTATGGATTTGAAGACTAGAATCGGGCTTCTGTCTCCTCTTTCGCATTGATAATAGTTCAAATTTTCCTCGGATTTCAGCACTCACCCCTAGTAGTCGCCCATTCAGTCTTCACAACTCGTCCTTGATTATACCTCCTCCAGCGTCCCCCACCTCTGAGCGCTCCCTTTTTTCGCTTCCAGATATACTTTCCTCTGGGATAACGTTCCAATAAATATAAGATCTTCAGAAAATCTACAAACCTTTAGGAGAAGGCTACGCCTTTATCTGATTACTGACTCGATTAAACGTTTATTTTCCTCATCCTTCCCAGAGAACTTTTTCTATGACACTGAGAAAGGGCCACCGGGAATTTAGTATGCCGCCATTAAATTTCCGTATTTTCTCACGTTCCCTTATTTCGTGAGCCGTATCGCTTCCTAGGATCCCTTATCAAAAGTGTTAATTTTTTGATTTTTCAGTCCACGCATCGTGCTCTTGCAGAACGCGCTCAATCAACGCTCTTGGCGGAACCTTCTGTATTTGTCATACCCTAGTAGTCTTGTCGCATCTCCCTTGCCCCCTCCTCCGCTGGATTTGGCTGAATGTAACTGCGGCATCTAGGTGCTTATCGCCTCGAGACTGGTCCTCAATTCGCCACTTTCACGTGAATGGCCTCATCCGGCGTATGAATTCTCCCTTGATGATGCCCGATTCAAACCGTTTACTCAAGACTTCATACAAGCCAGCCCTGTCTGACCCGCCTACTTACCCCTCCATGAAATCCGTCATACAAAGGCATATACAGACCGCTCCTGCCTGCTTTTTATAAATTAAGCAGTGAAAGAGTCTTTTCTCCTATAGTTCTAATCGAAGCATACTTATTTTGATTATGTTAGGAGTGTTTTTTCACTGCTTGCTCAAATTATTCGCAACATGCTACGTATTCAATAGCTATGAAATAAGTATTGCAATTATTCCGTATACCTCGTCCAAAATTCTAAAATTAATGTAAAAGTTATTCTTACTTTCTATGATAGGACCCCCACGGGTCTTGAATTAGAATTATTATTATTATTATTATTATTACTAAAGACTGAAGGAATTAAGCTAAGTTTCGTCGACGATGAGTTTATAAGGGCGGGTAGTCCTTTTTAGTGCACGTACACAAAGGCTTGATCCCTCCCCTGGTGGCAGTCTCCAGTTTCACTTTTTTCATTTTACAATTTTGAGAGTATTTTGAATTTCCCTCGGTATTTGGCTCCTGAAAACTGAAAGTAGCCTGCTTTGTACATCAACAAAAGGTTTTTCGATTCTACACCACTTCTGCCTGACTACCTTATTGTTGTACGTTTGGCACGACGCACAGGAATCCCAGTATATCTTCTTCAGAAAAGGAAAGTAATACGTCGAACGGCTTTGTGGCAAATCTAAATACTAACTTTAGAATCAGCGAGGTATCAACTGCAAGACACTGGATAGCTCTCCTATTGCATTATCACTCAGTGTTTACGGACACCACATGAAGCGGACCAGGTGAAACATAATGCTTCTATCCAGAAAGATCTTATTCGGGTGCTCCGATGAATTGATCAATGTGTCCTCACGGCGGATGAGCAGAAATTCTAGCTCCTTTCAAGAAACCTGAAAATAGGGCAAAAATTTGTCTATACAGATAGCCAAGTAACAAAGCCATTAGACAAACTGACTTAGTACCTGACCTGGAAATGCTTACTATCGCTAGTCCACTACTGACGAAAGACCGCTTGCGGGTTATTATCAGGAATCAAATATGAGGTTCGCCGATCTTGTCGCCTTATTCGATCACATGATGATTACTGCTTCCTAGTGTTCTCTCCACTTTACGTGTATGACGTAAAGGTCTGTGGAAGGGTTTGCCTTTATGCTGCGATGTGGACAAGCTCTAATCAAAATTCATTTCCCTTTCAGAAAAATTGCACAACTTAGTTAAACATGAAAATTTCTTTCGTTTTTGAAACGGAGCTGTAAGGTTCACACCTAATTTTCCCTTCGTGCTCTGGAATCAGCTGAAGTGAATTAAAATGAAGGACTCATTGGCCAGCAAGTTTATACACTACTACAACGGCGCAACGCGCAGACCTAGTAAAAACGTGCTGGACAGTCCCTGGTATATTTGGTAAAAGCGCTGCTTTTTTCTAACACAAACTTAAGCTAAATCCTTAAGCAATTCTTTTAAATCTGTATAAGACAAGACGGAGTACGTTAGTTACGTAGACTGTTCTCTTGCGGCGAATAAATAAAACACCAAACATATAGTACAAAGCATTTTCCTAATTGCTACCAGTAGACAACTTACGAAGTTGCCCACTTACGGATGAGGATCTGCACGGCTCATAATGGTACAAGAGGACTTGTAGGTACGTAAGAATTCCCACCGACTTTCGTACGCTAAAGTCGTCCACTTTCTTGTCATCCGATCCGCATTATGAGGAAGTACGCGTTAAACTCTAAAAAATATTGCTCGTTTTAAAAAGTCTTCCTCACTATTGCAGACTCACATTCGTTTATTTCTTACAAACTGTTAGTGTTGGTTTTCCACATCGCAATTTTAGTCATCAGAGTTCTGGTGTTTATTGACTTACGCCTGCGCTCCTTCGCCTCTTAAACTCTCTTTCAGCAACAGTAAAACTTGTTCTGTTCTTGTAACTGTAGCCCACTTAATAAGAAACAAATGATATCAAACCCTAGAATCTGTGTCCAATTTCGCGTTCCCACCCCTGCTAGTTTTAGCTACTACCCTTGGGCCTTCGCCGTAGCAACGACCTTAGATTCCGCAAGGAGTGTTTTAAAATAGTGTGCTCAAGTTCGTAATCTCCAGTAAAGACGAAAAAGTAATTGTTTTTGTACATAAGAACCCGTAGCATGTGCACTTACTCAGTTTATATCATAATTCAATTTTCAATTTACTAAAAATTTACTCACATTGCGACTTTTATGCCAGATTGTGTTCATGAAATTAAGTTCATTTGTAATATTACAAATAAACTTGGTATGTGTCTACGCGTTATACATATAATATGTAGACGCTAGGGCCCAAGTAGTAAAAACCAATGACGAAGCAACACTAACTTGTACGTAATAACAGCCGTTTACTCTTTTATTTCGATATTGAAAAGAGTGAAAGAAGAGTATATGTTTGTATAATCAGTTGTTATTCCCTATCGACATTTATCAATTTATGCAGCCCACTTGCTTGTATTACAATCTGTCTTATTAACACTGTAGGCGGTTATTACATAACCTCGTCCAGGATGACTCTTTATGGCGCCGATGCCGTAGCCCTGAGTGCGATCTTCCATGATGTTGCGACAGAGTTTGATCTGCTTAATCTATTCACAAGACCAACATTAACGAATACTGCCCTGCAGGAAAGCAATAATACCGTACTGCAGAATTATTTGGCAGAGCCAGCCGACATCAATCAGCACTTTCAACGAGTGTTGCAAAAATGTGGATCCTTAAAAAGTAGCCCTTTCGACTGTTGCAATTTTTTTGGCTTGTAGAATCAAAACACGTCTCATCTGCGAAATCACAGCAAGAAAATGTGGTTACTAAGTGGACTACACTGGAGGACGGATTAGAAACCTACTTATACGAGCGCAAAGTCAAAGAAATTAGGTATTTTCTTGTATTGTCTGTTAGCTCATTTGTACCAGCGCGCAACACGCAGATCTTTTTAGACTTGCCAGTGAAGAAATGAAAACAGAGGGAACTGTCTCACACATAGAAAGATATGTGGCCGACTCAGCAAGAAAGTTGGCTAAGCTGGCTGATATTGTTTCCAGGCAAGTTAGCTGTTTCTAAATGTTTTCACCTGACGGATTGGTCTTTTGTATTTGTTTGGTTAGTCCAGAATTTGCATGACTTTTAAAATATAGATTATGTAACCCAAAAGGCCTTCATGACCTTCCTTTTTCCTAGCACGGCTGTACTTCGAAAAACGTACTCATATTTTTAGAAATGTTTTCTTTAAAAAGTGTCAATACTTCTATAGTTTCGCGCAGTTGACCCCATTGAACAAGCCTCTAAGCTTTTTATTTTATAATTCACCCAACTTATATTTCTCTCCAGAGAGCATCAGTTGCTAGAGAATATATCCACTTTGAAAGCGAAACTGAAACAAATGCGCGAAGAAACTGAAGAAACTTTAAAGCAACGCAACGAAATAATCGCCCATCTGCAAGACCAGTTTCAGGTAAGCCTGCATTTTGATATTCCTAAACAAGTTTCAGCTAAAATTAATTTTGCCCCAATTCATTAATTTTAAACGATTTAGCTATTTTTTGCTCTTAATTCTCCGCATCCCACATTGTAGACACGAAGAATCATTGTCTTTCTGTTTTGCTCTGCTTAATTTGTAACCGACGATGATTTTTAAGGTAACGTCTTTTTCGAGATAATTTATGCGGAATGATGTTTTTAGGCATGTTTTTGGTGTTTATTGTTTTTACAGACTCGTTTTTCTTGACAGACATCCACTTTTTTCTTTTAATCTTAGCCACGAGTGGCATTTTTGTTTGCATCAGGTTGACTCACACGTTTTATTTGAATCTCTACAGGTCCTTAGTCAAGTTGGTATTGGTGCCATTTCAAAGTCCAGAACTTAAGATTGGTTTAGATTTTTTATCATTTACAAATTATTCAAATCCCGCCTTATTCAAACAGTCTTCTTTGCGTACCCCAATCCATGAAGCACAAAAATCAATTGTTCCTCGTATATGGATATGATTTACGTAAGCTGTCCCACGGAACTTAACTTATGCGGACTTTGATATGTTTCTCCTTCTGTCAACTAATGCGTTCATGAAGAAATGAACCTCGTTCGTAATACTTTGGCAAGAAAGGTAAAGACGGAAAATATAGAGCGCGCCTAATTTCAGTGACAATTGTAGAGATATCGCAATTTTCAGTAAAACTACACGACATGGTACATTTTAGCTAATGCAGACGCCAGGCAAAAACGAACCCGAGCCTTCTTCAGCTTCTCACATCAAGTGACATTATTTGGTGTCTGATATCGAATTCTGTCTGATCTTAGCCGTTCAAAAAGATCGCGTTCTAAGCTTGACAGTTGCATCCTTTTAGGTTGAATAAGTAACTTATCCTCATTTTATGACGGACTTTATTACAGTCATAAATGTGCTACTTGTGTGGTAATCCCAAAGTCGGTCACACAGGTTTTGTGAGACCTACGGAAAGGCTAATGAATTTACGCTGGGAAAGTCCATCGTCCCCACGCAATTCTTACCAAATTCCGCAAACAACATGAGTCTCGACCCATGGATTCGTTTTTCGTATGTTGTATAACAACGAGAACAAGTCCACTGGGTCCTCACGGCACAATAAACAAAGGGTTTTATGTTTTCCGTGTGTTCTGAAATTACTTTGCAGATCTTGGTGGAAATTGGTTAGCAGACTGAGGAATTTTTTACTTGTAAGAGGTCTGACTGTTCTCATGGTCTTCCATTAACTAAAAAAGTCAATTCGTTGTTTCCTCTACGACTGAGGATGAGTCACTGCGGTTGTTCAGAGAGCGATAATGATCTACTAGACGTAAACGTTTGGGATAGTTCCGTCGCAGTAGGCTAGAAACCTATTTTTCACTCTAAAGGATGCCGTTATTTTTGTAGGGACCAACATATATACTATCTTCCTTGATTTACTGACTGAGCCAGGTATTCTACATCTTATTTGGTTCCTGTTGCCAGATTGGCACCCTGTTAGGAATGCTTGCTTTGCGAAAATTTATTCCTCAGATCCAAAGGCCCACTCATTTCGTACCTAACGCCCGTTGAAGGCCGTTCTGTTATCAATCAGCCATAGACCCGCCGGGAAACCGGTAGTCAAACTGATATACAGGTCTTGTTCGTGCCTGTAAGTGATGTCTGATCCATCTTCTTTACGACCCTCATCGAAATGAACGGCAGCGGCTTTCCTATTCCCAGGCGCAGGCCCTGTAGTTTGTCTGCGTAGTCCTTCTCGAAAATAGTCCCCCGCATACAACGGCTGCGCTGCAGATGCGTTGGAGCAAAATTGGTTTACGGATTGGAAGGTTGCCAACTGGAGCTTTCTTGGGATTGAGGGTCAGACCGTGGTGCTTTCTCCTTACTGTGTCCTCTATGTCAGTCTCACGCACGCGAAATCCCTTATGAATATCTGATAAGTGGTTTTTCAACTAGTGTGCGCGTGGCAGGTGCAGTCGGATTGTTCAGTCTTGTCAAGCACTGCACCTCCGGAACAAGATGGGTGGGAGGAAGGAGGAGAGCAGCCGATGTCTCGCAATTCTTCCCCATCATAAACTAATGCACGCGCTAGTTACCGACGCGGAGGCCACTCTGTCATCGTTTGCAACAGTCTGGCTGTCTTTCTGAAAATCTACGCCCAGACCATGCGGGAAACGCACATGTGAACACCTGTCCCAACACCAGGGTCGGTGCATCAGATGGTCGAGCAATCATCACACCAAAATCCAACGCACGTGATGAAATTGCAGCAATTAACTACGCGAATTTCGGCCATCAAACAATTAGCACACCAAGTGCGACGATCCCGGATGAAGGGGGGAGCCGTGAATGTTCATAGGTATGCTGTAGCATGGCGACTGCATCCTATAAATACTGCAGCCCCTTGCGCATGAACCACCCGTATCTTCCTTCGTCTCTGATGACGGGTTCGAGCAGGAATCCGAAACGTCAGTCAACTAAAGCTCTTGTCCCAACGATTGTGCCTCCTTCTTCAAGACTTTGGATTCCTTCCGTCTTCTGAATCCTGGATCCTGTCGGCATAACAGTGATGTCAGGACTCGGCCCGCACAGCGTGGTTGTCTCCGTCAAGGGATGCTGCATTTATCACCAAATTCCGCAGTGACTAGCATATGCCTTATCAGCTTTACCCCTATCAGCAAACATCTCCCAATGCACGCAAAATAAAACTGTCAGATCGTAACGGTCGGATTTGTGCCATTTTGCCTACCCACCCTCAATCTCAAATTTACTTCTCTGATTTATTCATCTGTCTGCAGGAATTAAAAGTCAGAGCCGCCATGGAGACGAAGTACATTCAGAAGTGTGCCGAGGTTGCGATGAAACAGACAGAAGGACGATGTCGCAACGCCGAGAAGGAGATTCTGGAGGAGACGAGATTTCTACGCAACAAGCTAGCACAGGACACTCGCTGTCACGTGGAACTTTTCTCCTGGCTCACGAGCAGGAATTCAGAACTCACTTTGGTCCGTTCCTTTTTATGTTTTGTGTTGCTCAAAGCTCTCACTACGTGCCGGTTTTTAGGTCTTCAGACCACTGTTCCACATTTGTGAATGTGATGGAATGAGCTGGTTAAGCAACGCTGGTTAAGCTGGTTGGCCCGCTCAGGCACCATACTTACAATCGGCATTTTGAGTGTGTGATCAGTCGTAAATCTACAACTGGACCCACTTTTGCGGCCTCCAGTTTCCGTCCGTACATGGTGGTATGAGTAGAAAAAACGGCCTTAACCCGGCCACCCCACACTCCCCCGCCATTCATCGTAAGCAGAAGAATCTTTGAGGGCGTAAAACAGGTTTCCTAGTCGGAATTAATCATTTCATCCTTCGTCTACAACCGACCGGAGCTTCGGATGACCTTACTGCCGCCGTCGTACCGGCGGATAGCGTATGAGGGCTCACCCGTACTACCTACTCATTTCACTTAAGTAGACATGTTATGTTAATGTCACTGTTGCGACCAGACTTACGAATAGGGTTGCGGTTATAGTTAAGGCTGGGGTTGGGTTTGAAGTTTGGGTCAGATTAATGATTATGGCCAGGGACAGAGCTTGAGTAGCGTTTGTCTGTCGCATACCGTCTTAGTAAATCCAGTCACCATTAACTGAAAACTACGGATTACGTTGTTTCCGCTCCTCTACAGACTTTCCAGTCAAATCGCACGGCCTATTCCCGCGCCTCGTTGGAATAATAAAACAAACGTATACCAGAAGTACGAGTTTACCCCAATGCCTTTCACAGATTCCGTCAATTATCGCCTCCGTCTGCCCCACCCATAAAACCCCTACTACCATCTCTTATCGCAGGGATACGTGTGCTCTATTTTTCAGGTAGGGGCACATACCGTGTAGTTGTCTGAAAAGATACAGATCTTAAGAGTCAGGCTTTTTTCTTTCTGCAGAGTTGAATGTGTGAGCGGGGAGATAATTCTTCGGTCCAGACCCTCTCGAGTTCGGTTCAAAAGTTGATGTGAATATGCGGGCTAAAATCCGTCGGCTTCAGCGGGCTAACCGCGTAATATTTACATTCTGCTCTAGAAGTCCGTTTCCGGGCAACGGGCGGATTTCCCCTCGTTACTGAGTCGGGAGCATTGTGAGAAATGTGGTCTAACGTGAGGTTTGCTTAACTGCCCTGAATAAAATCGGTTTTGAACAGGGCGACCAACCACTTTTGGAAGTCAACGTTGACTTCAACAAAATTTCCACCTGGTATAATAACAAGCATAGAATACGACGCCTTTGCATAGCTCATAAGCAGCCATTACGGCTCGGGTGTAAGCCGGAGACTTGAATTTCTTGTTTCTAATTGGCTAACTTTCTTCCGATTTTTGACTTGTAATGCTAGCATCTTTTTTGTAGTCTTTAAGCCAGATCCCCCCATCAAATACACGCCCTGTAACAGAGAAACCCTTATGTGGACACTAAGGAACGATTGGGTTGAAACGTCAACCAACATCTTATTAAACTGCGTACGGTCATCGCGTGTGAATGAGTTAAGATAACCCGCTCAGTCAGAGGGCGACCTAGAGGGATGAAAGATGATAGGCAAATAAAACATGGACTGACGTTCTGATATGCGGTTGCGCATGGGGAGGGGAAAGGGGGGAGTTATCTAAGCAAGCGAGTTCGGACTACAAGGAAAACCTGTCGGATGTAATTAAGCCTGCGATTAGTGGGGCAGTCATGCGGGGGTGAGATGTGAGGGGAGGTATAAGGAGGTGGGTTTACGTCCATTATCGGTCCTTACATGGCAGTGCGAGATTGGGCGCGTAGTACAGCAGCTTACAGAGTTCGGGTTTTCTCCCTAGTATTGCAGCGGCCTCTGCAAGACGCAGGAGACGCCCAGTTGTCGCCCGAAGTAGGACCTTAGATGCAGTCATTGGGTCCACCGCGTGGCCCGTGTAAACTCTTGAGCACCTTATTTTCCGTCCTTATCAGCCATTTCGGCTGATTGAGTTGCCAACTGCCTTCGCACGCGCCCGATGTATTCGCATTCGCAATTACATTTAAACTCATAGATACAGCTTGATGTGGCGTGCATAAGCAGAACGTTTTAGCTAGTCTAGCTGGAATAGCCGTTGTAGTGCCTATAAACAGCAAGTTAGGAGGGCGTGCGTCCGTTCAATCATGTACAGAAATCGTCGTTTCAGTACACTCGACACATTATCACCCTTGAAAGGGCGGTAGGTGATCACCAGCTTTTTGGCACGGCTATTTCTGCAGGACTTTCTTATCTGGGATGGCGATAGTTATCGATAAATTTTTCCGGATACCCCTTTCCAAGAGAAAAACGTTCTTCAGGAAGCTGATTTTATCACCAGTCGTGTCCGTGGAAAGAAGTTTTTAATTTTACGACTTTTAAGGCCGTGCAATGTACATTCATACAGCATCGTACTTGTCTGCATATCATCGCTCCTCATGAAATGTACAATATAGTCCGCACTCATCGCAAAATTTCATGAAATATAAATGGTATCTGCTTAAATGCATAGAGGAATAACTTATTTTCCTTACACGGAAAGCAAGTGCCTCGTAGAATGAAATCTCTAAAGCTAATGCAACGGCTGATCTGGCTTAAAATTATTCGGAAATATTTGAATTCCTAAGACCATCGAAAATCAATGCGAAAAATGTATGCTACTTATGTAGTCATTTTTACCGAGTTTGGGTTTTGCAGGAAATCGAAAAGAAGTGACCTCTGAATGAAACCTGCCCGCCTATGTAAAGCAACTTCTTAGAGTTTCACTCAGACCCATCGTCATAGCCTTCTACAAACAGAGATGGCGGAAGGCAACAGTTTGCACGATGTTCCTACCATGCAACCACATACCCATCATAGCTAACTGCTTCCGCATTCACCGTCGACGGTCGCACTTTGCGTGGCGACCGCTTGTTCGTCTGCATGGGTTCGAGTGAGAATCCAAGATGTCAGGCGATTAAACTTCTTGGAACTCGCCTTTATTGGCAATACTGCGGAATTTTACGCATTCTCGTTGAAGCACTGCAATTAATCCCGGTAGGGGATCACGAGTAAAACACGTTGTCCAAATTGCTGTTTTTACTGACCGTCAACTATTCCTGCACTGCGCGGTTCATGAATCTTTGAACTACTGCTCGATTCACCATGCCCCCAGAACGGATATTAGCTAAGAGTTCAGACGTGTGTTTCGCCGACTTCCGGATGGTGCTCATCAGTGGGTCCTCTATCGCTCCCCGTGCGCTTTTTGGTTCCTAATCCAGTTATAGTTTTTCAGTTTCAGTTCCAGTTTATTTGAGGGAAACATAGGTGTTGAACCTTTGAACTCCCTGTGTGCTACAAGGAAGCGAATTATATCAAAAATTTGAAAATTGAAACATTAAACAGCTACAGAAGGGTTTTGCAACTACGATGCTGAATAACGAAGGAGAATACACGCGTTGAATTTTTTCAGATTCGCAAAGTTTTCGAAACCAGACAAATAAGCGAATCGCTCCAAGTGTTACAAACATTAACGTTACTGAATGTGCTGTACAGTAGTCTGTCTATGGATAATTGGTGCTATCTCAGTTTCTGAGGGAAAAGAATTGAATGCCAACACGTACATTCGACGGACCTGGACAATAATAAAAAAACAAATGTTACTGAAATACAGGCAGTAATATAATGCCACATATTAAATTTCGATGAATTTAAAAAGCCTGACAACAAGTCCTGGATCAGTTAAAAGTCATTATCTTCCGGTCAAGAAAGATTATTTAAAACCTTTACACCTCGATATACAAAGTGGATTCTTCTCATTTGCGTTAACTGCACGGGTCACTAGTCGCAGACCACGCACCCAAAATTTCATGTTTGATTTGCAGACCTCATTTCTTGATCTTACCTATCTTTTTGACGAACGGGCACTTTGAGAACCATTGGTATTGTGTACTACCTTCTGGATCTCTGTGTAAATTTGGGCGATATAGAGGGTTTCTGGTAAGCCGCTAGTGCTTTCATATGATGGTGTCTGTATTGCTTTAGACTTGTGAGTACATGGCCGAAAAGGAGATCCGCGACGTTTCAGCAAAGCAGGAGGAGTTGGACGCATTGACCAAAAAGAAGGAAGAGTGTCTCAACAATCTGAAGGCTCTGATCGTTGAGGTGAGCTAAGTTATGACATCCGGTTTCTATCCTTGTGCATTCTTTTGAGTTGAAGCACACTGTAGCAGTTTGACCAGTTGTAACCGAGCTGTTGAGGCTAAGTAGCAATCATTTTTAAGAGAAGAACTATGGATGGCATCGCATTTATTGACATAACAACGATCGCCTTAGCTCCTCCTTCCATCCTCATCACCATTTTCGTCTATGTATACATCATGGTAGATGGGCGCTCATCGATGAGGCTATGGAACGTGCTAGTTCCGTTGTGTTCGGGGCTTCAAATTAGAACCCCCAGGGGCAGTCGCAGAGCCACTAGTGGTATAGGCAAACGAGGTTATACTGACAGCGACAAAGCGGAGGGGATGGTCACTTCTGGCTTGACAGCCGTCATCGGCCAACCATACCCAGCCCTATGTGTGGGTCACCCGTGATTCGAGCGGGGGATCTTTGGTCACTGGGTGTGACACGCAATCTTTGGGCCAGGGGCCCTTTGTCTTGTCGACTATGATCGAAAATATTGACTACGGTACAGTGCCACAATCAATGACCAAAGGTTCCGGGTTCGAATCCCAGGCGATCCACACCTGGGGTTGGATATAATTGGCTGATGATGACTAACGAGCCAAAAATGGTTATTGCGTCTCCCTTGTCTTTGTCGGTATCACCTCGTCTGATTATATCACTAGTGGCTCTATGACTGCCTGTGAGAGTTCTAGTTCGGACCCGAGACACAACGGCACCAGCACGTCCCGCAACCTGATCGGTGAGCTCGCATCTACCACAATTAATATTCCCAATCAGAACTGTCAGGACAACGGGCCTGTGACTGAACGACATAGTGTCACGCCCAATGACCAAAGATCCCGGGATCGAATATCGGGTGATCTACATCTGCAGTTGGATGTGGCTGGCTGGTTACGGCTAACAAGTCAAAAATGGCCTTCCCAGTCTCCTTTGTCCTTTTTGGTATCACCTATATATATATATATATATATCAGAGGGGAGACGACAGAGTCTGGGGGTAGATTGATACAGCACTATTTCGGGCTCGTTTGCCTTCATTCAGCCAATCCTAACCCTGACCACCAGCAGCTGCGACCAGAAACACAAACATGCGCACAGACGCACCTGGCGCAGCTGGTCCACCACTGGGGTCTACCAGATGGGTCATAAGCACTTCATCGAAACGAAGTTCATCAGTGCTTCGCCACCTGCCATTCTCTGTCGCTGCAGATCGGGTATTTATTCACTCAGGAATGGGCGCACACCGATCCATTGGCTTCCCGAAGCAAACAAGTTTGGTATGGGCGATAGGGGTCACGAACAGGCAACAACCACTACATATATATATGCAGTATGTTATTACCGACAAAGGCAAGGGAGACTGGAATAGCCATTTCTGGCTTATTAGCCGTCGTCAGCCAGTCATACCCAACTCCGAAGTGTGAAACACCCGAGGCTCGAACTCGCGACCTGTTAGTTAGAGGTCCACGCCTCTACCCACCGGGTCACGAGCCCGTTGCCCCGTCTGTTTCGATCGGGAATATACAATGGTAGGGGATGCTCACTGATCATTGTTAGGGAACTCACTCGTCCGGTGAGCGCCCCCTACCATTGTATATTCCCGATCGAAACAGACGGGGCAACGGGCTCGTGACCCGGTGGGTAGAGGCGTGGACTTCTAAACCAACAGGTCGCAAGTTCGAGGCTCGGGTGTTTCACACTTCGGGCTTGGGTATGGCTGGCTGACGACGGTTAATAAGCCAGAAATGGCCATTCCAGTCTCCCTTGCCTTTGTCGGTAATAACATTTTGCCTATGCCATGCGCCTCTATGCGGCCGCTGATGGGGCTCGAAAGACGGAGCGCCCATAAGGCACAACGGGACAAGTGATGTCCGTAAAAGCGATCAGTGAGCGCCCCTCTGCCATACTACAGTGAGCACACTGGCCAGCCAATATTAGTCATGGACGAAAGAGTTGTCATGCAAATTTTAGTCAAATTAAGGACGTTAATGCTCATCCAGCTTCCGAATTAAGTAGATTGAGAATTAATCCAAACGCCGGGATACCAGTGTGGTCAGCTGAAATGAGTCAACTAATGACGCAGCGGTGCGTGTCATTAACTTACAGTTAGTGACCTAACTCATGAAAGGTGTCAAAATGTACAAATGATTGTCAATTACTGACAAACCGGCACCATTTCATGATTCCAATGTCTGTTATTTAAGTACAGGCTTAAAAGAATTAAAAACCTTTAAAAAAATAATGAAGGCAGTGTTGCGTTTTTTTGAAATGCCAATTTTTTAGAAAAGCTAAATATCCCGAAAACGTCAGAAATGGATCCAATTTAGTAAACTTCGTTTTTAAATGTATAGAATGTATTCTCATGCCGCAGACGTGATAAATATGAAAGTATAAATGAAATAACGTTTAATAATTATGTTTCAGTGAAGTTTACATCTAAATGTCGTTTAAGAATTAATGTAATTTCATACATGGCGGTTTCTCAACTGCCTACATTCCGAGTGTAGATCCCAAAACAGTTTTCCAGGCATTCGTGTTATCCTTGACCCGTTTGAGTTAAATGAGACGGGGTTCAACAAGAGAAACTGGATTTTGCTTGATTTCACCGATGGGGGCGTCATAGGAACAAAAGTTTTCATAAGGTGACATGCTATGAGGTCGGTCGGTGCCTAATAAATTTAAATAGAACTGACAGGCGTGATCGTAAACATGCCATTTTGTGTTTATAGAAAGAAATTTTCTTCCGTTAAATTAATTTACACTGTTCGTTCGTTTCGGATTACGCTGAGTTTCAGATCGGCCTCGAAATGTTTCTGAATACTTCATGATTTTCAGTGCTTTTACCCGATCATCCATAAAGGCAGATTCTGAATTACCTGTCTGTTAGGAAAATTAAAATAAGATTATTCTTGAAGGCATTTACCGAATTGTGAGTGTTCGGGCGCTTCTTTTCAAGAAGATGGTCGTTTGGGTCATATGTGAAGACTCGTTCAAACATCAAACTTCATTTTCAAGAAAACTGGCTGTCCACAACGAAAGTCAGCAACGAATATGCCTTCGATCAATCATAAAACTTCCCTTTATGAGTTACCTCTTTAAGTAGTGCTTTATTACTGCACTTCGTTTACGGATCTCTGTGTACCTTGCATTTTTGCACGGTGAGGCCAAGTAAAAATATGACACTTTTGGCCGTACTTCCCATATCGGAAGTCGGAGAGGTGGCCTACGGGGCAGTTTCTGACCAGTCAAAGCGCCCAGGGCAGGCCAGAAACGCCTGAAGGTCATGACACCGATCGCCCAGTCAGCGAGTGACTTTCAATAAATCAATTTTGGACCTCAAAGTTTGTCTTTCGGTAAACCATATTCTTCTCATGTAGGGGGCGGGAGGGAGCGAACAATCACCTATTCCTACCATATCCCTAAAGGGTAGTCTGTGGTTACTCCATCACTCTCTCGTCACTAAACCGGACCGCATTTGCCCTTTCTGTGAATGGTTATCTAACAAAAAATGCCTTTTCTTTCGGTCAGTACGAACATGTTGAGAGGACTGTACTCGCGGACAGACGGGCGAAAGAAAAGAAACGAAAGGCAGAAGAAAGGGCACAAAAGATGCTGGATTCCGCTCAGATGGTAAGTTCACTTTCGGGCAGTTTTGGAAGGGGTTCATTGGCCACTCCGGAGCGGGGCGCTTTGTTTGAATCAAGCAAAGAGCAGATCGCAACGTTTGGCCGCACTCCTCAAGCCAGGCGAGTGAAAGTTCAGTGGGTCTGGGGGCCAAGTGAGCAGTGCTCAGACACTCCTAGCGGGCTTGATTTCTATTCGAGCAGGTGTAGCAATCTGACCGTCATTACTGGCTATGTCTACCGTGTGCCCCACAGCAGGGTAGGAGTAAGGACGGCGACCTATGTGTAGTGTACCGACTTTCGAATAGAAAGACCTCGGTGTAAATGGTGTATGTGTGTCCGGATAAAGTAGTTGCGTGTGCCTTTCCAGAGTCTTTGAATGCCGGAACAAACTCGATCATAGTTTGTTGAAATTACGCGCAGAAAAGCTCATTTTTGTGCTCATTCAGTGGAAAATCAACATTTATCAAAGCTGAGGGAACAGAGACTTTCGGTTTGTAGAACACACATAGATATGAACAATTTTAGTAGCCTCACAGAGTGTACACTGTGATCCATATTTGTTGCAATATCCTGTGGGAACCAAAAGACCTCTTTGGATGGCTGCGTTGATTTGTGCTGTTTTGCTTCACGTAAACCACAGAGCATGTAGTTTTTAAGCCTTAAGGGCAAGTGAACAAGCAAGTGGTTTTTCAAAATGCATAGGTGAGAGTGAACTTTTGTAAACCGAGATTGTCCTTTCCCAAAAATATCGCATTTTAGGAAAGGAGTAATGTACCAGGGGTGTTGGAAAGAATATTCTGCACACCTTTTCTATAAAATTAGATTCACTCTATATAGCCCCTGGGACTCGGCCTAAAAACTCGGAGCAGTTCGGGTGAATGCCGCTACGAGTAGTGTTAGTAGCAGTAGCGACGGCGGTAGTAGCAGCAGTATCAGTCGTGACGGCAATAATAATAGTAGTAGTATAATTAATGGCAGTAGTAGTAGTAGTAGTAGTAGAAGTAGTAGTAGTAGTAGTAGTAGTAGTAGTAGCAGTAGTAGTAGTAGTGCTAGTAGTAGTAGTGGTGGTGGTAGTAGTAGTTGTTGTTGTTGTTGTTGTTGTTGTAGTTGTAGTAGTAGTTGTAGTAGTAGTAGTAGTAGTAGTAGAAGTGGTGGTAGTAGTAGTAGTAGTAGTAGTAGTAGTAGTAGTGGTAGTAGTAGTAGTAGTAGTAGTAGTAGTAGTAGTAGTATGACTGGTTGCGATACTGGTAATAATAATAATAATGACAGTGGTGGTAATTTGTTCTTGCCTCGTAGGCGAGTAATATTTACGTGCATAGATATGTATTGGGGATAGACATCCCACGAAATATAATTAGAAGGAAATGAGTTTTTTCGGGGACTTAACAAACTTTATTTCGTAAATTTTCGACGCTAGTTCCCCAGGCCATCGTCAGACGTGCGTTGTGAAAAACGGCTAAAACTTAAACATGCTCGAAAAAGTCGATATTACTTTGAAATTGCTGCCAATAAGTAGATACTGCGGGCTGACATCATGCGTGGATTGGCTATCGCCTTTCCCCATTTTTCTTTGAGATTTGTACATAGGGCATCTAAATTAATGTGCCGAATGATGCATGCATCATCTGAATGTACAGTCTCCAGAGATTTTTGACCTTTCTTAATGTTCAGAAACTGACAGTGCTCATTTTATCCTAATTAAATTTGTGCCCATTTTCTAGCATATGCCTGACGACTTGGGATAGATGGTCTCATCAGTTGGCGTTCATGTAGGCATGTAGAAGATGATTTTCCAGTTTAACCACAATACACCGTATTGTAGCTGTCACATGTATCCTTGTAAGTGACTTCTTTTTTTATCCGAACAGCCAACCCTATCCTTCGAGTGTACAAGCCGGTTGGGTAGTCCAGTCGACGGTTTGTGCGCCACTTGTATTTGGTTCTTCCTTAGGTGTCTTTTAACGAGTCCGGACATATTTTTAGTGTAAGGAAGTGTTCGTCCGTTTTTGGTTTGGGCGTCTGATCGGAAAAACCCAGTTCCCCGTCTTTTTCTTTTGATTCCTGATGCTTCACGCATCGGCGTGTGAAATCTCTAGGGCGGCTGTTTCGGGAAAACAGGCTAGACAAATAATTAGGATTTATTTTATGACCTCCGTCCTCAGAACAGTGTGTCTTTCCTCGATATACGCATATACATATAAGTATGAACATTGTATTTCTGAAACTGTTTTTGCAGATTCAAAACTGGTGGCGAACGATGATTGTTATTCATGACATTAAACTGAAGAAGAAGCGACGGAAGGATACCACCAAGGCTAAAAAGTCGACAAAGAAATGAAGTTTCATCTGTTGGATTTGAGTACTGATTCACAATTTGAGTATCGAATCTTTTTTACAATTGTTTGTGCTAAATTTTCTATTCTTAACGCCACTGATTGCCATGTTTTCCCTGTTATACTGCCAAATTTTGCACCGCAAAATCATCCTTTCTGATTGGATAATCACATCTATTCTAAAATCGCCATACTTGATACCTTTGTGATTCGGCTGTCTGTTGTCCTTTCGAAATCAAACATTTTGATTTATATGCATGCCTTTTTACTGCGTTAAAAACGGATGGCTTCGCCGACGGAGGAGAGATTTTAGAGTCATGAGGCCAGACATTGCAGTGAATCCCCACACAACGCTTCGAATGCAAGTCAGCATCATACAAGCATGCGATCTGTGAAGTGAATGATTAGATCACCACCACACAAAATGTCTGGATAGCATAAAACCAGAATTACTGAGAGGCTGGTTGTTGCTTTAAAAGTCCTTAAGTTCCTTTAAGGTCTTTAGTCCGAATCCTATCCGGAAGTAATCGCAAAAATCGTCTTGTGGAATGCGTAATAAATATAACAATGCGGGCCGACGCGTAAAAAAAGTAGTTACGAAATATAATCTTTATTTTTAGTGCCTAGAGCAAAGTCCTTTTCGGCATGAACGAGGAAGTAAACCACCACCTAGACAACCACCTTTCGTACACGCATGTCGGTAGCGTTTCTAAGACGGAAAACGCACCGTACAGCTGATTTTGGTTGGACGTCACTTCTGGAAGTATCTTTGGTAGCGCAAGGCCACCTGTAATACGAGAATGGTCGTAATGATCTCCTTCCAGGAGATAAAACGTGCTCTTCTCGATGCGATAAAGTGAAAGAAGTCGCATTTGCGTTGCACGATTGTTTTAGTTCACTAGACATGCATTCTGTGGGAAGGTGATTCAGGGGGTGTACATATCCGTACCCTGTCGTGTCTTCGGCCAGGGTTTAAGGAGTGTTTCGGTCTGTTAATTCCGAAGACACTAGCTGATCTTGCCAAATCACTCCATTATGCGTCTGGGAAAGGTGATATTTTTGTCTTCCAGAGCCAACACCGTTTATCCCGAGGTTACTAACGTCTGTGCGTACGGTGGGATGAGAATGCCCGTCTAATCTATGCAACACTGTTATCCTCCGGTCCAGGGAAAAACCTCATCGGCAACTCGGAGGCCGCATTACTGAGAGCCCGAAGAGGAAGATACCCAGGCTGACCTCCCCCTCCTCCATGAGATGACTGCACAAGCGCTAGGGAACTATAATACTGATGATTACTCGGAGTCGGTCATTCTGGTGTCCGTCTTCAGATGGGGAGACTGGACGAAGCATGAGAAATACTGCGGAATAAGTCTAACTGGCTCTGTTACCAGCGTCTCTCTCAACCGTGCATGATTCTAGGATCAGACCTCACAAAACCGGTGGGCGTCAATGAAGCATTCAAACATCCCAACTGCGCCGTAGTCCCTAATTGCGTCATGACAACCAACAAAAAACGGTCCACCGTCTTACCGACTTCGACGCAGTGTTCGATTCCGTCCGCTGTGAGTCCCTGCAGCAGGCAGTGGACAGTGTGCTTACAAAAACTGTCGCTGTGGCCAAGGCCTGGTGCCACTCGAGTTCTGGCCCATAAATTCTCCCTCAGCCGTTAGATTTCCGGTCTGGCGTTGAACGGGGCTGAATTCTCTCATCGCTGTTTAAATACATCATCAACTGAATCCTCTGTAGGGCTCTGATGGTTTCGAACTGCTGTCGGGATATCGACTAGGCTGACTAGTCTGTCATGCAGACAAAGCAATAGCGTCACTGTTGCCCGAATCGATGCCGCCCGCGTACTGACTCGCCGTGATATCTCCATCGCCATGAGTCTTTGTGTGCTAGGCCTCCATTCGATCAGTCACCCCGTAAGGCTGGGAATGGTTAGCTACGTGAGTTGAAGACTAGCGCAAACTGGAGTTATTTGACCAACACGGCTTGAGAACCATACATCGAGTGAGATACATCGACTGCGTCTCCAATGAGATAGTCCGCACTCGCCATGACAACGCGAGGATGCTCTAGGCTATTCAGTGAAGAAAACTGTGGTTCGAACATGCCCTTCAGCGCCTTTTGCATGAGTTCAGTGTCGCCCTTCATCCGAGGCTGTTGCCTACCTGGAGGTGGTGAAGGGGTCTGCTCGAAACCTAGCTCGACACAGACCATCAAGACGGAAGTGATTCTTGAACCCTCGGCATCCGGCCTCCATAAGCAGTGATGGGTACGCCGAGCTCTCCCAACCCGCTACAACCAATCTTCACGCGCGCGATGAGGTGAGCGAGCATGACCACGATCGTACCAAGTGTGGGCAGGCACGAATGACACCTCGGACTGCTTTTAAGGACGTCCACAATCGCCCGTCCTTCGAAGGGATGCATCAGTTAGATGCTGCACTGTTCATACGACAGTAAACAGGTCCAAGTTCCGCCCCAACGTTGCCAGATCACGAAAGACTAACAAAGCCGTGTTAAATTTTTCATTTACTGTCGTTAATACGTTGCGGGCACCGTATAACTTAGACCTCCAGCACCGAGGTGAAATTGAAAATAGACCGAAGAAACTGGACTCGCCCTGAGTTCTCGTTAGCTCCGGGAAGTAGGATCAAGCAGCTAATTACCCGTGCCGTTGGGAAAATTAAGACGGATGGAATATTTTCTGAATCCTGTTCAATGCGAACGAGTTCTCCCGAACTCCCTGCAATTCTATGACAAGGTCTTCTAAAGTAGGTTATATCAAAAGCGAGGTCAGGTGCAATGGGAAAGTGCCCTACTCCAACACGGCTCTCAAAACAAGTTTAGAGTTCTTTCAATTCCGGAAAAGGTGTACTTGCGTTAAATATCAGATTTTTGAAGATTCCGCTTGGAGTCGACAGTTCACTGACGACCCTGCGAAACCACAGAATCGGCAGCGCGATTGGTCCCTCCTCATGTCGCAAGCGGTTACAACTCAACATAACAGAACCCAGTAGTTTTATTAATAATTGAAACAGTGATCCCGAAAAGAGCTTTACTCAAAGAGCCGAAGATAAAAGTCAACAAATATTCAAACACTAAATTTACATATTCACAATCAACGCATGCAGGCGAAGACCCATGCAGTAAAAAGCGTGGATCAGTCAGGTGAATAATGTAGATAACACTGCGCCTATTGCCTGTGTGACTTCGTCTGTTTTGCGGATGACAGAAACGCTGTGAGGCCTGAGGCAATCAGCATGGAGAAGGCGTAATTCCTGGGTGTTTGGAGGTTGGAGTTAAGGAAAACAAGACGGCAATTGTGCAAATAGGACAAGTAGGACTGGAAAATGGTCAAAGCCCATCTGTCAATTGTATGGAGTGCGGGCCGCTCTTTCCTCGAGTAAGTGGGCAAGAAAACAGAGGTTTAAGGACTTTAAGGTGTCTAGCCGATAGAACCGAGTAAAAATCTGCAGCCCTCAAAGATTATCCACTTGGAGTCCTAGTGAGAACGCTGGGGCCTTCTGAAAGCCAACAATGCCATCTTGGTCCCTCTCGCTGGCGTGAAACTTCATACGCTTGATGAGGAACGTTAGCCCGCGTTGGCAATACCAAGAGCTAAACCAGGGGTCCCTTAAAAGAGCTTAAAGATTATCTCTGGAGGGCTATGCAATACCTGTGGTGTTCATCTTCAATTCATAAGGCAGGCTTAGTGTGTGAAAACTACTAAGCCGCATGCTGAGCAGGACTTCATCTCGTCAGGTCACACTGTGAAGACAAGTACAGCACTTAAAATGCCCAGCAGCAAACAGGTGCAACTCCGCTAGTCACTAAGTTTTTTTACAGGCCACTATAAATGTTTTTCTCTCATGTGTGGTCTTAAAAACGTCTGACATCAAGAACTAGCCGTCTCAAGTCAACATGGGGACTGATGGACATCTAGCTTTTAAGTAGACAAAGATTCACGAGGCTGTTCACTGAGTAAATAACTATGTAGACCGCAGTTATCTTCATGGTTTTTTGCTGCAGTCGTCGGTCCAGTTCGTCAGGCCCAGTAGTGGAAAATGGAGCTAGGTGGTCAGCAAAAAATATCTTTGAGACAACGCCTACTGACGTTCCACTTGTGTTCGTAATCTTGTTCACAAACGCTCCTGAGTTGTTCATTGTCAGGCGTTCCCCAAGGTTGTATCTTGTTGTCTGTCTTACTTAACTAAGGTATAAACTAAGTTCTTGAAAGCAGTGTAAACTGTTTTAATGGCCGCTTCGCACCACGACGCCAGCTACCTGACCCGAGCCACTCCGGCGGCGTCGTCCTTTTAACGCCAGCTGGGCTATCAATTTGGGTAGTAAAAACAAAAAAATTACTTCGGTGCATGATCAGCGCTTCGTAAATAACGGCTACCGGGCGGGAGGACTAGAAGGTAAGTTGATGACAAAGGGGGGGGATAGGGGGGAAGCGTTGTTTGGGTGTTGGTTGTCCGTTGAGTTTCTACAAGTCCTTAAATGTGTCCAAGGACGCATTGTAATAGCTCAGTTTCCATAAAGACCTGTACGTATACAGTTCATTCGCTCGGCTAGTCCTCTGGGGTTGAGTACAATGGGTTACGCATTTTAGAGAAAATCGAAAACTTGAGATTCTCGATTAGTGTCATTTCAGAACAATCGCCCGGGCGGAGTTGAGAAACGTCGTCTTACACAAGACAGTCAACGCCCGATGTGGCAAGACTGTGAAGACATCCTAACTTATCCAAAAAGTGTGTAGAGACAGCTTGGTAGGTCCGTCGCCTGCCCCGCCAGTTTAGTTTTGTTCCTTTAGATTTATCGCCCTCGTCTTGCCAGGGGCGATCGGGAAGTAGGCTCAAAACATGGTCGAACATAGTCCAAAAAGAAGTGGTGGCGGTGGTAACTGGAGTTAGGATATTCGACCTTCGCCAATGGCGAAGAAAGCGGGCAGAGCCCTCCATAGCTGTGGCCGCAGATCGTGGCGCTTAGAAAGGCTAAAACAAGGTGGATCAGCTAGATCAGGCAAGACCACATATGCATCAAGCAATAATGGGTAGTTCTGTGAACAACAGGTGTATCCTGGATAAGTGGAAAGCAGGCATCTAAAGAGGGTCTAATGGATTTAAGGATGATTGCCACCCTCCCCCACAATTTCTATAAAATAAAAGATGAAACACGCAGTATCGATAATAAAACACCAGTTTCGAACTTTGTGACATATTTCTGTTTTTAAAACTAAAAAAATATTCCTTCGATTCTGCTTTACCGCCATGTCGTCCTGCTTATTTCTTTTTCTCTTATCAGTCCACGGATTTGTGTATGGGATATCTACAAGACCGCGGACCGGTTTCCCGAAAAAAAAAGTTGCGCCTGAGGACATCGCATTAACTTAAAAAATCTAATTGCTTACGAGTAGCAAACGCAAGGAAAACAGAAACAAATCGTTGCATGCGGGAGGCAACTGTCTTAAACTCTACCAGAGGTCTTGTTTACAGACACCTTTGAAGTGTGGTAGTGCTACTAAAGGAAAACCAGTGACGCATCTGCGCCAAAAATTAATGAGCGTCCGATATGAATGAAGCTAAATTCAAAGGATACATTTGATCCGAGAGCTGATGTAGCACGGTTGAAGATATGAGCGCTATCAGTATAAATATGGCATTGATGTAGAAAATTGAGAACGTAGTAGACTCGTAGTCGGCCACATCCTTTGTTTTTTGCCGTATCCTAAGCGGAGGTAAGAATACAATTCCCCACTTACATATCATCTTTCTCCTTCTTTGATACCTTCTTATCGTTGCCCATCTTTTTTGTTACCTCCTGGGTTATTGCATCCGTTCGGATTACAGCAATTCTAGAGACTTCACTGACTAGCTGAATCAACGTTTACCTTTCCATAAGAGGCCCCTTTGAGTTGGTGTATGCAAGGGAAATCAGGTAAGTTGAAACCGCTGTAAATATAGCGAACAAAATGAGGTTGGGTATGAGATCCATCTCGTGTATTCTCCAATAGAGCCCTGTAAAAGCAGCTTGTTGAAGTGAAAGGAGAAATTACATATAGGTGTTAGAGAAACAAGTAACGCGTTTCCATAAATGAGTTTGTTGGACTTTGCGGAGGCTGTCCGTCCGTACTGTTCCAAAAGAAGTTCGTCCTCCTTCGTAAGCTTCATCGGAAGGCTGTCGTCGGCTCGCACCAAACAGTGAAACGTAACTATAAGTTGATTGGCTAAAACCTGCACCCGTGGCGAGTGAAAGTGACACGTCTAGGGTACGGGATACAAAATTCAGTGCGGTTGGCTTTACTCCGTCCCCAAGTACTTTTGTTAATTTTCCAAAATGTCTACATGATTCGAAAACCAGAGTGAATACTTGAGGTTTATCACCAACGACAGTGAAGATAGACTTGCAGGTTTTGTTCCAAATTCACCAAACAACTACTTACATATTGTGGTCCTTAGCCAGTCGCACAACGAGTCAGTTTTGAATGAAAAAATTTCCGCATTGGTCGAAACACTAGACGACAATAAAGTGTGCCCGAAGAAAGCCTGATAATGTGTTACCGGAAGTGAAAACATGAGAATAATCTTTGAATCCCTTCCTGACAAAATTATCACTGGTATCAAAGCTAACTCGAACAGTCGAGCAGTCAACATAAATCTGAAAATTGAAGGTAGCGCAGCTATTGACTGTCAGCCTGCGGTGGGTAAAAAGAAGCAATAAGAACATTGGCAACTACACCAAGGAAAAGTATGAGAAACTAGTATTATAGGGGACAAAGGTGTTTAAAGAAGGAAAAGTTGAAGGGAAATGAGAAGCGTTTCCAGGCGAACCAGGCTACAAACGCGTAAGGTGGTTATGTCCCTAGTTTATCGTAATATTTGCACTATGAGACGGCTTCAGTGGTTAACCCGGTCGGGAGGCTTCATCATAATGCTCACGGCAAGTAGCATTGCAACAAATGACCGCACCCAATTTTACTTTGTAAATAGGGTGATCAAGGGCTCATGTCTATTTTCCTCAATAAACTGAACCGAACTGAGCAGGATTTGTAAGGAGAGGAAGGTGAAAAAGGGAGCCTATCGAGGAAATCGATCTCTGTCTCTGTCTCTCTCTCTCTCTCTGTCTCTGTCTCTCTCTCTCTCTCTCTCTCTCTCTCTCTCTCTCTCTCTCTCTCTCTCTCTCTCTCTCTCTCTCTCTCTCTCTCTCTCTCTCTCTCTCTCTCTGATAAAAGAGCTGCGCCGATAAATTCATATAAAGCGGAAGGAAACTAATGAAGCAACTAATACTCAGAACACGACAAGATTTTGAGGAAGATTTACGGAACGACGCAGTGGGGGATCAAAGTTATTCTACGGGTATATATGAAGGAGCATGCGAAACATAGATCCCATGCCCCTTCTGAAAGCTATTGATTACCTAGTGACTAATGAAGACGGAGCAAAAACAGAACACCTTTCGCAATTCTTAAGTCCAAGTATATCAGGGGAAATGAATTTAGTCCTCCCGATTACGGCTTAGCCCAAAGATAAGGACTGTGTCCCTCGCCAGAACAACTATATCTAAAGAGCTTTCGACGTTGAATGAGCCAGAATCGTCCGGTCCAAATGACATACTGCCCAAATTGCCGAAGATGCTCGCTGACAACCGAGCCAAACCTCTCTCTGTGCTTTTCACAGCCTCATGCGAAGCCGGCTGACTGTCCGCGGATCGGAAATCTGCATAGTCCACGCCGCCACATAAATGCGGCAGCAAGCTCTGTCCAGAGGTATGGGCCAATGAGGCTGACTTCGATTTTCTGCAAAATCGTGGAAAAAATAATAAAGTGTGGACCAATTCGTTTCTTAGAACAGCACAATTTACCATTCGAAGCCTAGCATGGATTTCATGGAGGCCGGTCTTGCGTCACAAATTCGCTCCAAGGTTTAGAACGCCGAGCTCGGGCAGTTGGTCGAGGGGATGATGCGCATGTAGCCGGCGTCGCCTTTAAGATGGCCTTCGATAGTGTATCGAGCCAGCGACCATCGTACATACTCAGTCGAACCGGCGTTGGAGATGGGGTTCGAATCTTCTTTGGAACGTCGATAAGGGTCCTCCTATAATTTAGTCGTAGGTTTTGCACATTTTACCTGTTTCAGCTGGCTCTCCGTCTTTTAAATTGGTTGTTAAATTCATCGTTTTACTCCTCCACAGCGACGGACTTCGTGACTTTCTAAGTCACCTCATTGTTTCGATTCTAAGTAAACTGCTGACGATTGTGGTTCATTCTTCTCTCGACTCCCTGCTGGTGGTTTCTTTGACGAACAAAATTTTTATTGAGGAATCAGCCACAAGTCGGACGTGCAATCACTCTTCTCCAGTCAACCGTTTGCTTTTGACCAAAATTTTAGGATATTTTGCTTTCATCCTGGAGACAATTGGCAAAGCTGTTGATACGGAACACCTAACCTTACCTGCTGAATACGCAGTTTTAAGTGCTGGCATCGGAACTTGCTTATGGTTGCGAACTCAAAAAGTCACCAAAGGCCAGACTATTATGCAGTGCGCTCCCAATGTGGAGTACATGCATAAAATCTTCATTCATTTATAAAAAAATACCGAATTAAGTTGCTCATGGTTTTTAGAATGTTAGTAAGACAAGGATCGTTGACCCTTGACCACTTTAACGAGCCTTCTTTTAATTCCATTGAGACTATCTTGGCATTGTACTGCTCATGGCCTCCAGACACGCAGGCCTGCTCCAAATGCGACCTAACAAAAGTACCGAGGTTCTATGAGTAGAGGTCTTTAACAAACCCCATAAAGGCTATTCTGATTATGCTATGGCCCGGTCTGGTAATCAAAATAACGCGGAGCGTATGCGCACTTGACTATTGTCCCCAATACCAATGCGGCAGGGAAGGAGAACGCGACCGGCAATGAAAAATGTGTTATAAATCTGCAAGTCACTAACTGGAAAACGAACGCGTATTTATAACTCTCTACTGGGGTTCGCCTTCATTCGGTCCAATGCGCTTCAAGAAGAATATTCTGGACGAGTCGATCGATTTCTCGCATGTACGGACCAATCAAGTTCAAGGGGAGCAGCCAGTGGCGAGGTGCCGCCATCATGCTGACAGCGTGGTAAAGAAGACGCACGTAGCCTCCAGTAACTGGTTGGCTCTTGTTGTATGAAGTGTACGTACTCCCAATAGATTACGTGCAGCACGATAACTGAGCTTTCTGTCATCTTAGTGCAACCAGTGGGTGGCTTCAAGGAGTTCCTCACCAACAAACAGAGATTTTTTTGGGCTTTCACGTCTTGTGAAGTCACATTTGTCGTATAATAACTTCTTCCGTAGGCGAATGTTATCGGGTTGCGTAGGCAATGTACGGTACAGTTGCCGATACTGAAACATCGAAAGCAATAATTCAACTACTCATGCGGTCCATCTAGTCTGATTTGCGGGCTATCTTTATCTGAAGCGCTCCAAATGAAATAGCATATCGTCGGCAAACATTGGTGTTTCGCGGTTCCAGTGTCTTTCACAGCCATCTGCTTATATCAGGAACAAAATTCGTTCCACTGCTGAACTCTAAGAAGTTCTACCCTCGGTAGCAGCAGAATTTGCTTTATTTGACCGATGCAAATAACGGGACACCGGCTCATTAAAGAAGTTTCCCATACTTTTGAGGAAATTCCATCTGTTCCCTGTTGTTTCAAATTTGTACAACAGTACATAGTTAAGCATCGTGTCGAAGGCCTTCCGTTCAGGCGGCGTAATATTCCGTCCAGTCCGATTTTTCGGAAAGCCCTAGAAGGGACGAAAAGCCTCTCGCAGACATTCACAACGAACCCCAAGTAGATTAGGGGCTCGACCAAAATGTACTCAGTAACTAATTAAAATCTATCATCCATCAACATCAAGCGGTAGCGAGATCAGGGCAGGCGTTGGCGCGAGCGGATCTTGTTGTGTGAGGATTTTAGCAAATTAAAACGGCAGTACAGATTAGTTCGGTCGCACAGTGAAAAGCGAAAACAGAAATAAAAGAGTGCTTGGACTTACGAATAAAAATCTAGCTACTTCAATTTTGCCACAACGTCACACGTGCTGTGCAGTCCTAGAGTTTTCTGCTCAGCCGTATCTGTGGTTTTTGGAAATAACAGTTCCGTTACAGATGGAATGGTCATTATTCCCAAATTATGAATGTAAGCTTTTGGCAAAATGGATGTTTGCGCATCTTCAGTTCCTGTAAGAAGGTTTGCCAATAACAGAGACTTCTGCTAATCAGTTCCTTGAACGTTTAAAACATCGGAAACTAGAGCCAGATGAATCCATGGTATATTTTGATGTCGTTTCACTCATTGCCTCCATTCCACAACAACTAGCAATTGACGTTGTGAGACAACTCCTGACTGATCGCTACAACGAGCGAGACAATCCCCTGAGGACCGAACATCTAATGGAGCTCTTACGGAATTGCCTAGAGACATATTTCAACTTTGGTTGGCAAATGTATGAATTATCAAAGGCAGCCCTATGGGTTCCCCCATGTCAGGGCTGATTGTTGAAGTAGTCCTTCAACGGTTAGAACATTTGGTGTTCACCAGGTATCAACCAAAGTTCTGGGCTCTCTACGTCGATGACACTTTCGCCATTATCAAATAATCTGACGTGGGGTGCCTTAAAGAATTACTGAACTCGGTTGACCCGAATATCCACTGCACGATGGAAGCGGAAACAAACGACCAACTTCCCTTCCTCGATGTCCTTTTGCGTCGGTGTGCAACTGAGTAATTGCAAAGTACCGTTTTCATAAAAGCCACCAACACAAGAAAATACTACACGTCAACAGCAATGACCCCCTCTCTCACAAACGCAACTGTGTCCGTATTCTATTCCAAAGAGTTTGAGCACACTGTGGCACACCAGCCGACAAAAGAGTTAAACGACAATACGTTTATGACCTCTGTCGAGTCAACGGATATCCAAGCTACTTCATCAAGCAAAGCAAGCGCCGAGTGAACAGACGACAGTCACAGGAAGAAGAAACCAAAGTCTGTATGGTTATTCCTTACGTTAGTGGAGTCGCCGAGGCGGTTTCACGACTATTACAACCCGCCAAGGTAGGCATTGTTAATAGACCCCAGGCAACAATCTGTCACCGTTTGATGCAACCCAAAGACATTCTG